AAATGCTGGTTAAAAGCTAAATGTAGCTAAATGCTGGTTAAAAGCTAAATGTAGCTAAATGCTAGACAAAGTTGAGGTGATTGCAGCTTTTATCTACCAACAATGCTAAATACCGAATTATTTTACATTATTAGTGTTTGGTGTACCGTAGATCCTCATGTACTATCTCTTTTATACTTTATATTTTTGCTCTTTCTGGGTGTAACTGAGACCTTGAGTACACAGTTTCCTTCCACCTCATGTACCACAGGTGATGTCAGTGACAGTAAAGAACTTGAACCTTATCGATCGCAGTTTGTACAATTCACTCCAGCATGAGATTCTTAACAAGTAGCTAAAACTCGGCTCGTCTGACTTTGAAAGAATTTGAGGAAATTTTGCAACTTGAGGAGAAAAGAGGAAGCAAGAAAAATACTATTTATAGAAGATTAACAGATCGTTTAGTTTTAAAAACATCAGGCAAAGAGCTGAGCCCGATGTGTTCAGGGAGTGACCTGTGCTTCAGTTTATTCAAGTTTTTGGCTTTTTCTGAACAAGATGTTTTATTTTTTATTTTAAGAGAGAAGCCTAAAATTCTGACGGCCATTTTCTTTTTTGTTGTAAGAAAAATATTCACAGAACTTTCATGAGCTCAGCCTGACGATGAAAATCATCTGTCTTCAGCGTAACAAAGATCTTATTTCAGTTTTGTCCTGCAGGTTCGGAGCATGGCTAAGTCCAACGCCTCCGGAGTCCTCGTCTTTTCGCTCCCTGGAAACCCGATCCAGGACATGAACTGCGCCGAAGACGAGTGCTACGTTCCTCTTAGCATCCCGGCTGCCATGGTGCACATGGAGGTTTCGGTCGCCCAGGCTCTTCAGTAAGAAGTTGATGCTGAACACGGTTTTTAAAAAAGATTTCATATTTAAATCAAAGATCCTCTAAACTCGGCGTTTAACACCGTCTTCCTCGTAAAGATCAGGTTTTAATTGTGCTGACTCAGCATTCACACTTACGGTTAATTCATTTTAATTTATTCTTATTCTGCACGTTTTTCAGCATCTAACGACTTCAGCATACTTCAGCAGTTATAGCTGCGTTCATACATCAAAACTTTCAGCTCATTCAGGAGGCTGAAGCTGAAGCTTTTGTTTTTTGTAACTTTTACACTTTTTTAAATATTTATCTTTAAGCCTTTTTGGAACCATTTAAAAAATATGTAGCTAATTTCAGCATTCAAGCTTTTGTTTTGCTGAATTCAGGTTTCAGCTTGTTTTTGTGTAATTGTTTTAGCTGCTGTTTATCAAGTTTTTGTTTATAGCTAATTAGCAAATTTGCTAATTTGAGCTTTTAGCTACTGTTCTGCAAATTTTAGGATTAGCTCATTTTTGTTAATTTTACCTTTAGGTATTACGTATTTTGGTAATTTTAGCTTCTAGTTACTCTGCAAAATGTAACTTTTAGCCACTGTTGTGCTTATTTTAGCTTTTAGCTGTTGTTCTGCTAATTTTATGTTTTAGCTACTGCTTTGGTTGTTTTAGCTTTTAAATGTTCTTAGTGGCTTTATCTTTTAGCTACTGTTTTTCAGGATTAGTTACCCTTTTGCTCATTTTAACTTTTAGCCACTGTTGTGTTTATCTTGAGTTTTAGCTGCCATTTTGCTCATTTTAGGTTTTAGCTACTGTTTAGGTTGTTTTAGCTTTTCAAATAAGCTTATCGGCCTTAGTTTTTAGCTGTGGTTTTGCAACTTTTATCTTTCTGCTGCTGTTAGAATTATTTACTGTTTTGTTAAATTAGCTAATTTTAGCTATTAGCTACAGTTATGATTGTTATAGTTTTCAAATGTCTTACTTGTTTGTTTTTTGCCATTCTTTTGCTGAATTTAGACTTTAATTCTAATTTTATTAATTTTAGCATTAGCTAACATGTTGCTAGTTTTTACTTTTAACTACGTTTTGCTAATTTTAGCTTCTTTTCTTCTTGTTTTATAATTATAATTTTATATTTAACTTCAGCTCCTTCAGCTGCCATTCACACTTTGTTTTTGTTTTTTTTAGAGAAAGCTGATTTTTCTCATTTTGGCGTAACTTTAACTCGTTTCAGTGCCGACTTTAACGTTTCAAATTGGACTAATTCTTGCTCCTCGTGATAAATGGATGTTTTATTTTGAAGGTCTGGACAGTCGGTGAAAGTTTCCTTCCAGACGACTCCGTCTCCAAACTTCTTCTTCAGTATCGACCCACGGGGGGCGCTGGCTGAGATGGGCTGGTTCCTCTACCCGTCCTTCACTTTTGTCAACTGGCAGTCCGAGTGGTAAGAAAACCAAAGTCACGATAAATCATAATATTCAGGCTGAAATCGGCACAAATTTACCTCCTGGTCAAACAAGTTTAGAAAACGTTTGAGGTTTTATCTAAAACTAATTGTTTGAGTATTGTGCAGTTATTGATAAATGGTAAAGATAAATAATTGGGTGCCAAACTGTTTAAAACGTTAAAAGTGAGTAACAGAATCTGAATCGTGGAGAAAACGAACAAGCAGCGGATCTGCGGTTGATCAATGCGGGTGCAGGATGGAGGTTCGGTGTTTGAACCGACTGAGACCCGCTCCCCGTCTCATTGTTTGCTGTTTCACCTCCAGGTTTGAATTTTCTGCTGATCTGCAGCTCAAACTCCAAAGTCCTGCAGAAGTTGTTCGAGTGTTTGATGAGGTCAGAATGCAGGGCGATAAAGGAGCCGTGACCTCAGTCGACCTGCCTGCAGGTAACTTTATCAGCCCTGCAGAGAAATACTCGAAGCTTGAAGTGTTTGTCCATCGCCATCTTCTACCTCTTATCCATAGTCGGGTCGTGGAGGCAACAGGTCCAGGAGGGAAACCCAGTCATCCCCAGCGGGGATGTGTTTGTTCATTCCCCTGATAAAGCAGATGGACTGTGAGGGCTGGTTATTTAATCACATGATAGCGGAGCTGGTCCTGAAAATACTGGTTTTATATCTTAAAAGCAATTGTGACACATTGGGTTTGTACAAATACCGTGCAATCTTTTTGGAATATCTTTAAGCGTCCTAGTTTTATTAGAAACACCAGCATTTCTCCAGCAGTGTGTCGCAATATACTGCTATATTTTATGCATATAACTTGCATAATATGGCAAGAAGTTCATTCGTCCTCATCTGCTCACACAGACTCATGTTCGTGCTGCTGTTCGGTGTATTGTTTTTATGCTGTTAGTGCTTAGTGTATTTTTAGTTAATGTATTTCTCAGTTCATATCTTAGATCTTATTACTGTTTTTATTTTACATTTTATACTTTTGTTGGGTGTAACTGGGACCCTGTGTACATAATTTCGTTCCACCACATGTACCTTGAAGTCTTTTTTTATAAACACATTTATTTGTGATTTCAGACTTGTGGCGCTTTGACACCCTGGAGCTGGACGCGTCTCTGTCGTGTCCCAGCAGGAGGGACTCGTCCTGCGCTCAGTGGGACCACACGGTTCAGTTGTTTGTTTGCTGCGACCCGCTGAGTCCGTACTGCAACGTGGAGCTGGGCCGCTGGATCACCGCCTTCCGCAGGTATCACCTCCATCACACTGCAGAGTCCCACGGCATCCATTTTTTATAACATCCTTTTTTAAATTTTGAGGAAACTATGCTTTCTAGTTTTTATATTGTTTAAAAGTACACTTTCCTGGGGTGGCTGAAGATTAATCTATAGGGGCAAGGCCACCATTGGCCACCCCCTGGCTCTATCATTGCACCTGGTTGGTAAATAGAACTGCTCCCTCCACTCACCAGGATCCATCACTTGGTTCTGGTCTGGACTAACAAAAAGAGTAAAATCCTCCCTCTGTTCTTCTCCACAGTGAAGCTCCCACCCACTTGAACATCTCGCACCCAAAACGTTAAAGTTTACTTACATTCCTCACTTCCAGTCCAGAGAAACTTGACAACTACAAACGTACATATTTGAATCCCTCAGCGACGGAGGGACATGGCGGACCGCTTGTTAATTTCAGGAATGTTGGCGGTTCTTTAACGCTAAGACATAAAATTGCTGCAAATATCAAAGTGATGCTGCAGTTTGACTCGGATGAGGAAATGAAAAATAACATTTATCCTGCTGGTTGTTTAGTTTGGTTTCAATCTAGTTAACAAATAATATTTACTAAATTACATTATGCTGTATTTTATTTTATTTTTTACAATATTTTTCAGATTATAAGACGCAATATCATTGAACAGGTCAACTCATTCACAACATGCACATGAAATGGGTTTGAGGTCAGTAAGCACAATTAAAACACAAGGTGCGCCTGATTATAAGGCTCACTGTCGGTTTTTGAGAAAATTAAAGGATTTTACGTGCTGTGCCTTACAGTCCAAAAAATACGGTATTTTTATTAGTTGCTTCATGTTATAGTTTGTAGACTTGTTGTCACTGCACTGATGTTCAATTAGATTAAAAGCAACATGGTTCAAACATATTCACAAAGAAAGAAATGCTAAAAACAGAATTCTGCAGATATTACTCAGTCGTGGCATTGTGCAGTATTATCAATAAAAAAAATATTAATGAAATAAACAAACAGTTGAACAAAGCACAGTAGGTGTGCAAAAGAAAAGTTGGACTGTGAAGTCCGTGCACGTGAGTTCAGAGTGCCTATGGCTTTAGGAAAAACTGATCTTGAATCTGTTTTTGTTCTGCTGGACCTGTAGCGCCTCCATGAGGGCAACGGGTCAAAGTGTTCAAAACCAGGCTGTTGGTTCGTATAAAGTTTTAACTTAAGTTTAACATTTTAAATGATACATCATAGATTTTTATGGTGGGTTTGTTTTGCTCTGGTGTGCATTAAATCTGTGCTGCTTTTAAAACTCAGAGTGGTGTGAGAATGCTGTTGTTGTTTGTGTTTGTGTGTTTTTGTTTCCACAGAGGGACAGGACACTGGCTGACGGACGTGTCCCCTCTGACCCCCCTGCTGGACGGGAACAAATGCACCTTCACCATGAAGACGGTGCCGTGGGCGATGCCTTGGCTCGTCTCCCTCAACCTGAGGTTCAGCAGCAACAATCAGACAGGTGAGTCCTGAGCTGGAGGGGCCCGGCACGTCTCATCAGCTCATTTTGTTACACAATGCCGTCTTCTCTGGACCAGAGCTCATTTCAAATGGACTGACGCCAAGTCCAGAACCGTTCTAGGGTCAGATGGAGTCAGATTAGAAATTAATTTTTGAAACCGAGAATACCACGTCCTCTGTACTACAGAGGAGAGGAACCATCCAGTCTGTTATCGACACAGCCTGCCTCCCTGATGGTATGGGGGTGCATTAGTGCCTCTGGCATGGGCAGCTTACACATCTGGAAAGGCTTCATCAATGCAGAAAAGTATACACAAGTTTTAAAACATCTGCTCCCATCCAGCAAAATTTCCATCAAATAAGACCCAGAGCTGTTGAACATCTAGAATCCAGACAAGAATGAGACATTTATCTGTGAAACCTCCAACAAATGGTCTCCTCACGTCCTAGATGTTCACAAACGGTTGTTAAAAGAAGAGGGGGAGCTTCACACGGGACACGTGGACCTGGAACAACAGTTTCTCTGTGTGTTGCCGCCATAAAATGAAAAATATTTTTACTTCCCCAAAAAAGACGACACAATTAGTTAAAACCTTTGATTTGTTTATGCTGTTATCTTGTGAATAAATGGTGGGTTTATGACGTTTGTAAATTATTCCCAGAGTAAATGTAAACTCAGCAAAGTTTCATCCCAGCTCAACGTTGGAACGTTCAGTCTCAAGCTCTTTGTGTCACAGATGACGGCATGGACAAGCTCCGCCCCTTCAGGGTCCTGTCTCTGTACGGTGGGGGAACCTTTGACAAAAACTACAACAAGAGGTACTCTCCGCTGAAATTTCCCGTCCCGTCATCGGCCAAGAAGGTACCGGACGCTCAGCGAAACGTCCCCGCCCCCTCCTGTCGCGTGAGTAACCTGTCTGTCTTCAGGTGGAGCTGTACGCCGTCATCACCGGACACGGCAGCGACGAGAACGAATGCGCAGAGTTCTGCGTCACCTCCCACCACTTCCTGATCAACGGCGTTTATAACAACACTCAGACGTTTGACTCTGCAGGTGAGGAGACGCTAAAACAAACTCATTTTTCTGCAGTTTTTACTCAAATGTCCGATTGTTCACATTTTCTTCCTCAACGTCTACTTTTCCTTAAACTACTGGTTTCTGAGTTCTGGGAACTTTAAGGACCTTTTGTTGGTAAAAAGTACGTGTACTAGTAAACATGCTCTATGCTCTATAAAAGCTCTATGGAAACTAATAAAATAGACTTTAAGGTGAGGTCGTTTCTGAGCTTCTCATAGTTTAACTTCCTTTTTATTTTTCAGAACACGTGAAAAAAATTCAGGAGACATTTGAACAGCAACTTCCTCATAATTATCAAAAAAATGAAGTTATTCAGAATCAGCTTCGTCATTGCACCGAAGCACAACAAAATTAAATGTCAGTACGGCTCGTCTGAGTAAAACATAAACAAACAGACATGGGGGGACGGAGGTGTCTGAGGCCGCGGCTTCGTGGGAGGCGCTGACTTTTTCATTAGATAGGAAAAGAGAAACGGGGGAGGTATAAAAATAAAATCATATCTCACACTGTGTCCTAGACGGGACACAGTGTGAAAGTTGAAAAAAAAAAAACTCAGCACAGAAACAGCAACATACTGATGACATCATAATACACATATACATGAGGAAGGCTGACGAAGACGGTGAGTTGTCCGTGGACACGGTCAGATAGTTCCATAGTCCTGATAAGAGATGGTGCAGTGTCTATCAGCAGCTCAGCTCTGACCCAGGTCCACAGTTGCCCTCGGGAAGGTAGTGGGTGGGGGGTGGGGGTGGGGGTGGAGCAGAGCTTCTTGTTCATATAACATCCAGAAGAGTTTTGAGATAGTTGGCCAGTTCAAGGCTGACACAGGGGAGCCAGATTCTGATAAGAACAGTTATTTTGGGTCAGGTCGACTCTGCTCGATTTCTGTCTGCCTTATAGTTCTACTGGTACGTCTCCATGGCGACTCCAAACAGCCAAATTTTGTGGTCAGCACCGCCGGGCCGAGCCTGTAGCTTCTCCAAGGTCAATTCCTTCTCGCCAGCGAGTTTCAGGAGCCGCAAGTGGCCTGCGATTCTCAGAAATTGCGTCCAGCTTACGGCTCAGCTCACACAGCATGCGAGTCTGAGCGCTCACTGCACGGCGCATTCATCACACAGGCCGGGCAGCTTCACAATGGCCAGAACAGATGCCGACATTTTCCATATTTGTCGATAGGCCAGGTCACCGTCGACTCCAAAATGCAGAAATCTTATCATAAATCCAATTATGTGCACGTCTTCTACAGCCTCAATGGACAATACGATCTTCCACTGCCCCAGGACTCCATCGTGTGTCCAGCTGCAAGTGTCCCGTCAGGGCAGGAGGGCTCTCCTTCGCCCCGTCTCCTCGGCAAGAACATTTTATCGATTGTGTTGAGACGAGCTGACCAGATCCATGATTTACGATTCGGATGACACAAGTTATTGACTAATAAACAAAGTTAACTAACAGATGTTATCAGTTATTTTGATTTGATTCTTTTTTTAAATAACGTTGACTTTATGCCCGTCCAGTTCATCAGGAAACTCTTAGTTCATTATTGTCTGAATATAAAAACAATGTTTGTCTCTCACATGCTTTAAGGAGCCCAAGTAGAACAAAGTTTAGGTTTTATTAAAAACATTAAAGATCTAATTATTTGAGGGAGATACTCCCTAAAAGCAGCAACTCATCCTTATTTGTCTAATGAGTTAATTAAATGGTTGAATTCTTGTCTTTCTTTTGCCTTAAAACACAAACGGATGGTTAAACAACAGTTTCCTGCCTGTTTGTCGAGTTTTAACGGTTTTGTTTTTTTTGTCACGTTGGGCCTGACAGGATCAGCTCTGGGCTGCACGACGCTGGTCAGAGACGGAGCGGTACCAAACGAACACGGCACCTGGCTGTACGGGCGAGGAGGCTGGTGTGACGGACTGCAGGTCAACCCTTGGAGGGTCGACATCACCGAACAGGTTCGCCCACAAAACTCCTCTTCAGTCCTGAAACGTGGTCACGTGGTCCGCAGAGTATTCGAACTCAGCAGTCCCAAGATTTAAACAGAAAAACTGTAAGATAACCACAAAGTCACGCCAACTTCATAACAGATGAACGCACGGTCCCACAGGTCTTGGTCTGATGGGGGACACGCAGAGAGCATGCTGGGAAACTGTTATAGATGTAAAAACTATTTTTGGACACACCTGAGGGGTGTACGGAGAGAGGTTTGTTGTTTGGCAGCAACTAAGAGCTGAATGTTTTCAGTGTCAGAGAAGCTGCTTGCCTGGGGCTCAGTCGCCATGGTAACAGATTGATTAACAGCCTGGGATATCGTTAAGAACATACAGAATGGTTTCTGTTCTTCACGATATCCCAGATGGATGGAAACATCCGACAGGGACATCGTATCGCTGGGACATTTAAATGAACGTTGAGTCGCAGGAAGCTGGTGTCCGTCTCCAGCAGTCACCGTGTGAGAGGCGGGGACGCCCTGGACATGTCTCCAGTCCATCACAGGGACATCTGGACATGTCTCCAGTCCATCACAGGGACA